ACGTCAGTGCTATTGCCAATCCCTCTCCGTCCAGACAGAGGAGTCCTCATTTCGTGCGACGGTGGTACGGAGGATGATATTTCTCTTACCTTCTAGTAACATTCTTTCATTATTGCAACAGGATTTTCATTTTTTATCGTTTCATCTATAGCAAGTTTTCATCTTTCGAGGAAGTGTTGCTGTTTCACTTAGCTATGAAATCCTGTTCGTTACAAATAAAATATCAGAAGTATGAAAGGATGCTGTTGCCAATGGACGATATGTAAGATTTACTATTTATCAAAGATATGAGGGGCACTCAGAAAGCTTTTGAAATTTTCCGGTGTGAAAAGAGGTAAAAATAAAGCTGTTATTGCGTATTTAAACTGGAACATTTTCTGTATGTTATACGCTGTACCACGTTTTAATACTATCTAAGTGTAGTATAAGCTTGAAAAATTCCAACTAAAATCCAGTTTTACTTCAAGTCTAAAAAAAGAGAAGTATAAAAATTCATGTAAAAAAAAAAAAAAAAAAAAAATAAACAACCTTAGTCAATGATACTTTTGTGGTACAAGCAGATATACAAAACTGGCACGTAGAAATAAGGAAGTGATTAAATAATAAAATTGCATTATCTTTGTCATCAGAGCATAAATTAAGTTATTAAACCCAGCTAAAGCATTCTGGAAGTAAAAATAACATTTCTCTTTTTTGCTTACGTTTTAGGTTACATATTACTAGAATTGTAATCTTATTTTCTATCTGTCTTATGTATTCCATATCGAAGCAATTTACTTCTCAGAAATTAAGCTTTTAGTTAATGACTCAGTATATTTTAAATAAAAATCCTGAAAAACTGTACTTAAATTTAGATATCACGATTTAAAATTATCAAAACAATTTTCTGATTTCATCGATAACGTGACAAAGATATTTTTGGTGTTAAAGCTATGCAAGCTTTTGGGTCTTGTAGTGAATAACAAGAAAAATAAGAACCTTAACTAAGACCTAAGATATGTTTTCACGGAAGCTTGAAGAAACCTTAACCAGTAGGTAGTAAATGCATGGTAAAAGTAAAACAACGAATGATGGGCAATGCAACACCGATAATGCCATAGGTCTTTCTGAGATGTTGTAGATCAGTCTGTAAGGATCTTAAGTTTTACTAACGTTTATTTTATTTTAAAACTGTACTGTACTGTCTTATTTTCTACACCTGGCCAGAACAAACACCTTAAACTTGTTTATGCAAATTATACTTGCTAACGCTGAAGTATTTAAGTTGTGGCTTTTCGCCAAGGACAGAGTTAGATGGAGAGAAAGTGAGCCGCCTTACCACTATTTCACGCGAGTTTCAATCAGTTGCTGTCTGCCTTTAAAGCCAGAGGTTTTAGTCCTCTTGAAAGCTAAAGACGTATTGTAATTTTCCGCAGTTTGCGTAGTACATACGTAATAATTTAAAAGGCCAGTCTTAGCGTTAGTTAATTGTGTAAAGCACTCAAAGTTACTCTTAATTTTACTTAGTTAGTAGTTTATATTTTTACGTTCACATCACAAGTGGTTGGTCTTTGTATCCCGAAGTGTGGGAGCACCTGTAATATCGTGGAAAATAAAGGGGTAAAGTTAACACTTCTCGCTTTTGTCGTCCATTCCACACATATTTGAACATAGCTTGAATAAGCTCCCTGTTCCCATTCAGGATACGTCATGTTCCCGAAGTAGATTAAGAGAAATACAAATCCTGATAAGTCTTGTGTCCATAAGATGAAGGGAAAATTCGAAAACTTCCCCTCAAGCATCAACTCGGACTTCATTCCAAAGTGAAGCTCGAGGGAGGGAGGAAGACCTGCCTCATATTTCGCTGATTTAACACCTCATGTTCGTATTCGGTTAAATCTGAAAGCTCACTTCGCCGAAGTTGGTGTACGAAATAAACCACTGGTAAAACGGCTTCGTACTTTAGATCTTGGACAAGTTCACAATTTCATGGGTAGTTCGGCACAAATGCCCAACGGATCTGAAACTGCCAAATGAATTCAAGAGCACGTGCCTTTTGAACTGCATCTATTACGCAGAAAAAAATAGGTGTCTGTATTAGTTTGCTCTGTTATTTTAAAAGGAAAAACTTCTCCGTATTCCTTGTTTTTTTGCTTAATAATGAGAAAATATTTAAAGTTTGCCTTCTAGAAAGTATAAACGAAAATTTGAACTTCTGTTTTCAAACAGAGTAAGTTCTCCAATCCCTCACTTCCCCACGCCTCAAGAAAGTGAACCTTTGCAGGTTACGAAAGCATAACATAAAAAAAAAAAAAAAAAAAAAAAAAAAAGCTCAAAATGCTTCGCAGAATTGTAAATTCTTTTCGAAATTTAGTTTTAAAGAACTGTATTGAAATCCAGTTATCTTCTAATTTATGTAACTTGCAAAACTCAAATTGTACCTTAAAATTAAAATTTTCGTTAATAGTATGTAAAACTTTCAAAGAAATTAATTTTTATTGTATAACTATTATTACTTAAAAATCTAACCATAAAACACGAATTCTCAGAAATGAAGTTTGAAAAATGGCAGAATGCAATAAATTATGCTGACAGCTTTAGAGAAACCACTTAACACTGTGAAAATTAAACTAGGTAAACTTCTTTCACTAATTAACTAAATGAAGCACTTTAATTACAATAGGATAATAAAATTAAAACGATGAATATGAAAGCGCCTATCAGCAATTTCAGTTTATTTTAATGGATTAAGTTATTTAGGTTACAGCAAAATATGCGAGGGTTATATCTCTGCGAAATAGGATGCCTTCATGAAGGACGTTTTAAAAGAGAACTGTATGGTATTCATATTGCATAAAGGAAAAGCTACGAAACCTCCTATGCAGCCAATTGGTTCGCCCAAATTTCAAAGAGTAATTTTATCTTTTAGTCTCTGGTGGGCACATCAAACTTTCGAGTTGGGCGAATCATTTGGGGGGGGGGACTGAAAAAACTAAAATAGTGTAAAAATTAAAATTCAGTTACAGTAGAACTTTAGTCAAATTTCCCAGCAAAGATCACTTTTTCGCATGTATCATTTCGCATTTTTGATCTCGAGTTAAGTTTTTCTAAAAATGACGATTTCATTTCCTCATCCATCGTTCTCCGGACTATAGTTTAACCGTGTTAATCGTTTATATAGGGAAGGCTTTGTATATTTATTACTGAGGTGTGCAAAAATTAAAGACAGAATAGAATTTTGACATGCAACAGCATGCAGCACTCTTTCAAACGAATACAAAGCATACCATGACATTGTTGAAAAGTAAGATGAACAACATTTACTAAGAAAGGAATGCAGATGGTGCCAAGAAGCTGCATTCAAAAAGACAACACTTCTGCCCTACTGTGCTCAAAACCCCCTTTTGAATAGACAGCAAGAATATACAAGCAGGTTAGAAAATTAGAATTCTCAATATGGCGTACGCCCCCTCTGTTCACGTTTGTATGGCATCACGGCCTTTTCCTCTTTCAGCGCTGTTTGTTGCTGCGAGATAGTTGATGGTGGTTAGCGACGTGCTGCCAAGCAACTCTTGTGAAATGTTTATTATGTGTTCGATTGGATTTAGGTCACTAGACTACGGGCAAATCTGTGCTGCAAATATCTTCAATAGTTGAGCAAAAGCTTCCGAAAAGTTGTTATTTATGGTGTTGAAATCGGGGTTTAGCACATCCTCAAAAATTTGGATGTGGAAAATAGTGGTTACCAGTGATACAATTTCCATGAAAGATGTGAAATTCCGTAATCGCCAGGTGTTATGGATTGCCAAATTTGAACTCTGCCGCATATAAGCTAGTTTCTTTCGACATTGTTCGAAAAGCGATTGTATATGTCGTGGTTTCTGTGTGTCTTTAAACGTTTGGAAACACTGGTGACACTAAATCGGCTTTCATCCTTAAAGACCACTCCCCCCCACTGCCGAATTCCCCAATTCTTTATACAGTTGTCCTGTCAGATAAAAATGAATGATTGTGAATCCAACGACGGTTTTTAACAGCTGACTTTTTAAAGCCCCAGCTGACCTGCCGCCTTACCGTCAGGGGGAAATATCTGTCTATCCATAGTATGTGCCGTCTCCGATGGGTAGGCGCTAGTAGTATATGCTGTACTGCTTGTCACCGTCGTTCAGAAGGTATAGTAGTTAATGACGCTCACTCCTGTAGAGAAGAGCCGAGTTCGAATCAAAGGGGCACTCACATTGCTCTCCGATCCGAAAGAAGGGTGGGAGATCTTCAAATCGCCCTTTGTGCTTTGTCGCAGAATTCCAAATTGAGGCGAAAGTTTAATAATTAGCTACGTACAACAATACCTCAATCATCTATGGTGCTGGCCTTGCGTCGTCCGAAGGCCGTACTGGTTGCCGAGCGAAATACCGATCTATATGCACTATCATCACCAAGATTATAAAACGTGACATCGAGCTGCATCCAGAAGTGCGTCGTTGCATGTTAGTTTCATCTCCTGTCTGTCGTTGATATCTCCTCACTTGTGCAATAACATACTAGTCCTCTGTCGCTGTGATTGCTCGTGGATCATTAAATTTTCGGGTAGCTGTTCCCGTTGTTAGAAATGATGTCGAATCTTGTGAAATGATGCTGAATGTGAATCCGGAATAACTAGACATTTTACAGCTTTCAATGGTTCGATAGAACTCCAGATGTTGTGCACAAGATTGTCTTTTGGGCATATTTCAGATTTACGGCGTGGGCTTGTGCAGTATCCTTTACTGAAACTTTGAGCGTGTACCGCCCTCGTATTGTATATTCTCTCATATAATATATTGTTTATATACAATGTGTAATAGTTTCCTGGCATAATAGTTTTCTTCCAGTCATCGTATTTTCCCTCCATGCAATCGGAAAAGAATAGATCGATGTTCCACTATCAGCAAAGTAACGTGTTTTGACTAATCGTAATATAATTGTACTTGAAACGCATCCTAAAGGGCATGAACTAAATCGAATTCTTTTTATATGTGCAGGTAATCCAAGGTTTTATCAGTTCCGTTTACCATTCTCGGACGGGCGACATCATCTCTGAGGATTTCCTCAACCTCATCTGGTCGATCGGAGTCTCCATCTTCGCCATCGGGGGGATGATCGGAGGAATAACGGGTGGCATCGTCGCCAACAAATTTGGAAGGTAAGTCTCCTCAAGGTAATTCTCGAATGTGATTGTGATATTTGTGAGAAGGATTCAAAACATAATTTAGACTTGTTAGGTCAAGAAAATTTTAACTGAGCATAGCACTGTAATACAATGTTATAGATGCCTTTCAGTATTTTTCGACATGCATCTACCAGACATTGAAAATGCAACGCTAAAAAGGAGTGGCCAAAAAGTGATGAAACTCGGCAAACGGTAACGAACAATGAGTGATCTTTATTTCGAAATGATGTGCATAATGCAGAGTGAGAACAGCGTTTGCTCAGTAGGTTAGGTTACAGCAGGACCGGACACTTCGACGGCTTTTAGACTAATCGGGCGTTGACTGGCACCGCCAGTGTCCCACAAACGCTTCATCAGGTGCCTACTAGAAGAATTGATAGTTGTTACATGAACATAGAGAGGCTGATTTACGTATCATATACACTTGACTATAGATATTTTGCATATTATACTATACATTTAATTATTATACTATACTTTTACGTATTATACTATACATTTACGTATTATACTATACATTTACATATTATACTATACATTTACATATTATACTATACATTTACGTATTATACTATACATTTACGTATTATACTATACATTTACATATACATTGCATATCATATACACTTGACTATACATGTACACTGCGGAAAAAAAAATGGGACAGTTCTATATCTCCCGTTCTACTGAGCCGATTAACAAAATTCAATTTGCGTTCTTATTGTCTCGAAAGCGCGACTTATGATATATATTAGATTTATATATAGCTCTATTCTAACATAGTTATTTTGACACGAAATTGGACTGTTTCTGAAGTAACATAAAATGTTTTCCCATATTTCGATTCTACGACTCAAATTATGCCTAAATATGAAATTTTGTAAAATTTGGTGCGAAATTTACGGAAAAATTCAGAAATTTATGTTGGCGCTTTTTTTTCAAGTTTGGGCCAAGAATAGTTCACTTGGTGAACTTCTTAATACATGGCAACCTGTCTTCCTTTCCCGTAAGCGAAAAAAAAGTTACAATCGTTTCTTTTTTCCAATAATGTTCTTTATATTATATTTTTAATTATAATTTATTAGTAATTTTTTCTTTTTCGAATTCCATTTTAATTGTTTAAGTCGCATGGTTTCTTTCGAATAACTGTTTTAAAAATTTCTATTTTACCCATTCGAACTGCATAGTTTAAATAAAAGGTGCATCGTTTATTTTTTTTCAAATAGTTTTCTTTATATTTTTTGCTATAGTTATTATTTTAGGTAATTTTTAGACTTTTATTTTAATTGTTTGTGTTGCGTTGTCTCTTCAGATAATTGTTTTAAAATTTATTTATTCATTCAAACTGAAATTTAAATTAACTGAAGCATTTTAAATATATTTAGTAATATAAATTTTCCAGGATCCCATTTTATTTATTTGAATTGCGTTTCTTTCGGAAGAATACTTTGTGTCCCAGACTACGATGCATCTGGAAACTTAATATATTAAAAGAGAAAATACAGTAAAGGACAGTTAACACGCTTTTCAATGTTCCGTTCAGAAAAGATATATAAATGAGAAAGGTGCATAACCGACATCTTAGCTTAGGATGACTCGCATATATTGCTTTAAATAGCTGTAAAGACATTAGGTATTTTTTGGAAGCAAAGGAGATGAAAAATTAGCAACGCTTTCGCCGGAAATCGAATTGCGAACCTTTCAATTACGTGCTGAGTGTGCTGACCACTACACCACAAAGGGTCGCTAAGAAGGCGGGAGAAATACCTTATATAGCTTTAACATTGTGCTTATTGCTTTACAGAATTTTATCATTCTACATCTAGTTTCTTAAAATGTTATTCATATTTAAGTTAAATATTTTATTTTTGAAATCGTAAGACTTAAATACAAGATTAAAAAGTATTAAAATAAAAAAAAATGTTAAATTTTATGCAAAAATTTATTTTTTCCCTTAATGGCCTGCTCTTTTTCTTCAGACATTCTGCAAGTATATTAAAAATCATCCAACTTTTCGAAACATCTTGGTATTTCTGAAATTCATTTTAAATAAAGTTATCGGCTTACATTTCATAAAGGCCCACACAAATGGCCGAGCGGTAAAGTCGCTGAACACTGGTAGTCCGCTCCGGGGTTCGAATCCTGGCGAACGGGCTGGTTGCATGGACGTTTTCGTAGTTTTTCTCATTGTAACGTGTATGCCAGCTGGTTTTCCATAGAAAGTTCTTGACGAAGGCATCCCTCCTTTTAGGCAGATAGCCCTGCTTTGCCGTAACTTAATAATCAAATTCAATCCATTTCATCAGTATTTGGTCAGAGCCTTTATCAGTCTTTAGATTCTAAGCATTTTTAAGACATGAGATGAAAGGAAAGACTGGTTTCATCAAGAGGGAAAACGTCTTTAGGTGACATCCACATACATCACTGGATAAATTTTTGAATATTCAAATAATTCGACTAAGAAATCATGGGATTCTCCGTTTATGATGATATGATGTTTTATAACGTAATTTAAATTTATACAAACATAAAGTCGAAAACTAATCGCTCCTCACTTTAATCTGCAATGATATTGTTAAGAAATATCCAGGAGCTTTCCCGCTAAGCAGTTTTAGGGCTTCCATAAAATGGTAAGGGGAAGGCAGGGTTGCCACATTTGGCGACAAAATTGGCGATATGCCATGGACGGATGGAGAACCTTCTGGAACGAATTCTTACCGGTTTAGCCCAGAAAGTTCTCGAACACAAGCCGAAATCTATATAAACCCTGCTGGTCCGCAGTCAGAGTGTCTCGTCGAGAGGGCGAGTGTGTGTGTGCCTCGTCTAGCGAGCTGATAGTCAGTCATTGAGGGAGTGTCTCGAAGTCTAGTGCCGAGTTGGTCGTCAACTGCATTGAGAGAGTCTTTTAATGTATCGCGAGTTAGTGCATCGTCGAGTTTTGTCTTAGACTGTGCTGAGTCGAGAGCTATACCCTTGTGTATCGTCGAGTGCACCGCGCGGAGAGTCTCGAGAGTACGAGGAGCTCTGAGAACGACCAAGCAGAGTCGGGAGCTGTACTCTGATGCTTTGCAGTGAAGCTTTCTCCACCGTGATAGCCTGATAACCTGGCGGCTGTGTCGCTGATCGTGTCAGCGTGTTTATAGTAGTTCATCGACGACTGTAAAAACGGGTTTTGGAGCTGTCCTGACAATACTGACCAATAAAGTGTGTTTCGATATTCCATCAAGAAGTGGTGTCATTCACTCCAAATCCGCACAAACCCCTTAAACGTAACAATATCGTTTTTGTCTTTTCTGTTAGCACAAGCTCAATTTATGGTATTTGCTTGTGTACACGTTCAAGTGTTTTCTCTTCGAACACCCAAATTCTTTAAAGTATTCTGAAAGTATATTCAAAAGCATCCAACTTTTCTAAACACCTTGGTGTTTCTGACAGCCAAATTCCCCTTCAAATTTTTGCTTACTCTTCTCCCTAATTTTCTTCCGTTCTACATTTATTTTCAGTGCTCACCAAAAGAAAGTTAAGATTTTTGGATTGTTGTACTTCCATGAATTTTGCATTCTTGTCAATGTTTTTAAAATATCAATTGCATCAAATGCATTTTAGTGGAAGACAGCTTTTCATTTTCTAGGCATTTTTAACTATAAATAAAATTTAAAGCAAAGTCCAAAGGATAAATATTTTAATTAAAAGATTTTTTGCTAAGTGACAAAGAAATAAAACAGTCTAGCAGTGTTTATTCTGTACCATTGAGTGACCCTATTATTATATCGACTACAAATAATCTAAATCATATTAAAGATAATTTTTTTATACAATCTATAACACGAGAGAAAATTAGCTACTTAAAACATTCTTTCGAAGAGGATTAATGTAAAAATTTATACTTATGTGTATAATTTTTAAAGCTGGGACATGACCCAATCTGTCAACTTTCTGTTTGCTTAAAAACATTGTGAAAATAAATATCAAACGAACTTTCTAAGTTTTAGACAATTCAATTTAAATGCAGTTAAAGTAAAGTAGCAGACGATAACACGCCGAAGGTGAAAATTTACTGTTACAAATATTTAGGAAAGAAAAAAAAAATTTTTTTTTAAAGTTCAAAATTTGAATAATATCATCTATAATTAAAAAAAATATCTTCAATTTGAATTTTGTCAATTGGCACAGAAGAACGGGAGATATAGAACAGTTTTTTTTCGCAGTGTACACTTCACACTTTTCACCTTTTTTTATGATTTATCTTTAAAATTTGTGTTTTTAAATAATTCAAAAAAAATTTTCAAAAAAATTATGAATTATAATCTATAAAATATTTACCATCTTCTTAAAGTAGACGTATTTCTAAGCACACCTACAAAAATTAGTTTTTGATTAAAAATTTCCGAAGACATACATGAATTTATATATTGACGCGTTTTGAAATTTGGCATATTAGTTGAAAGCGATAAAACATCAAATGTGGTTTAGACACTTAGCTAAAATTATTTGAAAGTAGGAACGAGTGACCTTTTTTCCGCTCAAGCACAATGTAAAAAGGTAGTATGAACGAGGTGCCTTTTTTCCGTTCCGGCGTAATGGAAGGGCAAGGAAAAGTGGTTCCTATATATTAAGAAGTTCGCCAAGTGAATTATTTTTGGTGCAAACTGAAAACATTGGACTTATATAAATTTTTGGATTCCTCCGTAAATTTCGCACCAAATTTTACAAAATTTAATATATAGGCATAATTTGAGTCGTAGAATCGAAATATGGAAAAAAATTGGCATGTTTTTTCAGAAGAAGTAAGATTTTGTGTCAAAATACGTATGTTAGAACAATGCTATGTATAAATTTAATATATATCCTAAGTCAGGCTTTCGAGATATAAAATACGCAATTTGAATTTTGTCAATCGGCCCAGTGGAACGGGAGATCTAGAATGTCTTTTTTTTCGTAGTTCGCATATCATATACACTTGACCACACTACATATACACTACGTATATATTGCTACTCATTTTATGCTAATCACATATTGTTGCTTACATACCATATGATACACACATTTTATTACTCGCATATTATTACTTAACATATTATAGCTGACTTTGTTGTTCCCATAACTTGCATTTTGCATATATGTTCTTACTCGCATATTGTATCCCATTTTGCTATTCACATATCTTAAACTCGCATATCAAACATTTTGAATGCAGAAATTATTGGCATATCTTACATTTGGCATACATTGAATTACTCTTATTGTTACCCACACATTGTTATTCACATATCGTTCATTTTACATGCACAGTATTACTCACTTATTGTTACTTACAAAGCATACATTTTGTAAACATTGTTATTCGCGGATTATTAATCACATATTAGTTATATTCACTTACATATTAATTCGCGGATTATTACTCAGTAGGTTGTAGGACCACATTGGACGGCGATACGCGAAGCAACACGTCTAGGTACAGAGTCGATGAGACTACGGATAGTGTCCTGAGGAATGGATCTCCATTCTCTGTCAATCATTTCCCACAGTTCATCTTCTGAGCGCGGCAGTGGTAGGGTCTTCAAATGGCGTCCAATCACAACCCAAATGTGTTCGATTGGAGAGAGATCGAAAAAAAAAACGGAAGCATCTGCACACCTTGCAGAGCACGTTGGCTAATGCAAACAGTGTGCGGTCGGGCGTCAATCTGCTGATAAAATGCACTGGGCACCTCCTGAAGGCAGAGGAGTGTCACCGGCAGCAGTATATCCACGTATGTTTGGGTTGGATATATTGGATAATGGTTTACGTATGTAAAACAAATAGTCACTCAAATGTAAAAGCTGTGAATGGAAAGGTATAGGTTGACTCAGCCTTTCATCCCTTGAGTGTGTTGATAAAATGAGTACCGAGTTCGCTTGAGGACCAAACACCGAACGTCTTGCGAAATGCTGACCACTTCTCCAAGACCTATGCTCATGCAACCCTTGGCCCACAGTCCAGAAAGAAGTTATCTGGCACTGCAGGCCATGCCTCTGTAAGGGCTGTTGCGCCACCGAGTTTAGTGTATATATAATTAGTAAGGTATTAACTAGTAAATAAGCGATTTCTCCAAAGAGGAAAAAAGTTCTATAACAAATTCAGCAGCAATCTTGGTAGCGGTCTGTAAATGTAAACTCCTTTAAAGCTTTCTCATATACAATTCTTGGTAATGAAATATGTTGTTGTGACTTATACCGCCTGATCGACAGTAACATCAGGTCATTTGAGATTAGAGTAAGCCCACGAAATTCATCGTGGTAAGGAGTCAAGATTACTCTTGTCGTTGGCAAGAGCCTTGGGCACTATACTAGTGACAGTACGACTAAGCCCAGTTCTGCCCACAATTTTCATTTAGTAATGACAGGTCCGAGGGGTTTCCCATGCAATTTCGCATAATAATTTGGAGCGCAAGAAGGAAAGAAGGATATTTTTACTTTTATATTCCATATTTTTTAATGAACTAATAAACTTTTGCTGAAAAAGTACGAAGGACACTGAAGCATTTAAAAACTGAAAATGAGTAGAAAATTAATGCAACTTATAGTACTTAACTTTAAATTTACATAGTTAATTAACATAACTCATTAATAAATTAGTCTCTTTTATAAAGTTTTACTCATAATTTTTCATGAAAAATACAGAATAAAAATGTTTAGAAAAAGGAGGATTACCTCTATAAAAATTGCTTAGTTAATTATCAAATTACTTCACATTTGTTTCACTTCATTTTCACGTTTGTTAATCTGCTACTGTTGTGGTGCAAATTATGTCTTGTTTTGTTTCCGTTTATTCTGAAGTGTCGTTGACATTTTTTGCTCTTCCAAATCTTTATGCGAATATGCATTTATAACGTTTAAAACCTGAAAAACGCATGTGTTCCATTTTATCGTCATGCGAAGATTTTGTAGGTGCTTTATTTTTTACCACGATATTTTCGACAATGGTTTTAAACTGCGAAGATTCTGAACCACTTTATTTTCGACGACGATGTTTTGTATCACAATGTTTTAGAATTGCGGAGTTTTCTCTTTGCTTTCTTTTCTCTCCAGATGTTTTGTACCGCGACGATTTCGCCTTGCGTTTTTTTCGTCCACGACGTTTTTGGCTGTAGCATATAGTATATGGCATTATAAACATCTTTTATGAAGTAGACTAATGCTTCAAACGTTCATAATTATTAACTGGATTTATAAAATAAACATGTTTTAATATAAACAAATCATTAAAATGTAAAATAAAAATTTAAACTATTAGGAAATGCATTTATTGCTTTTAAATCTGGTTTTCCCCCTCCAGAGGCGCAGCCCGACCTTCCTGGCAGACGTCGCCCCATCGCCTTTTTGCGGTCTGCGTCTTTAAATCTCTGTTTTCTGTTTATTATACAATGCAGTTATAATTTGAAATATAAAGATTTTACGCTTTGTTGAATAGCAATATTCCGGGAACTGGTTGCTGGCGAGGCTGCAAGGAGGAGGAGGAATTGAATATCTTATGTTCTGCGCAGTTAATCATTAATGAGCCAACCTAAACTTAGCAAATTTTGGAGACATTCAATGACTTAATTAATGATAATTTATGGGATTAGTTAACTGGCATCTAAATACAACAATCGTATTTTAAATGAAAAATGTATTTTTCTGTCTTCTTTTTTAAATAGGCTTCCTATTTTCTGTTTTTATAAGATTAGACTGTTTTAAAACCACTTTTCTAACTATCATTCATCCATTTCTTTCCAGGAAAGGTGGTCTATTGTTGAATAACATCATGGGTTTGGCTGGTGCGGCGCTGATGACTTTCAGTAAATCTTCGTACAGTTTTGAAATGCTCATTCTGGGACGTCTGACTATGGGTTTCAACTGCGGTAAGTCCTCAAAGAAAGAATCATTGAAAATGAAGAAACATGTGGCAATAGTTCCACGTTAAAAATAAAAGTGCAATAATGTCTGGATCGTAAGCCTGTATGAGCGTATAATTGAGAAGGTTGAAATAATGTAATTTGATCTGAAAATTTTTACTTTTATAGATCCTTGATATGAGGGAACTTGATATGATTCTAAAAATAGTTTTAATTGCCTAGGTTTCAGATATTAATGAAATAAAATGCAAATATAATTGAGCAGTATCCATTTTTTGTGACAGGTGCTTTGAAAGGACCAATTTAATTCAATTATTAGGTTAATTTTTCTGTTTAACATAGATCTTAATCAATTACTATCTCACTTTTACCGATTTTCTTTTTTCCCTACTTTAAAAAATACTTTTAATTTAATAAAATAATTAAAATTCAATAAAATTTTGAAAATTTTTGAAAAATTTAACTTTCATCCATATTTACAATAAAAATGAAATGCTTCTTAGCGATTTTTTCCAAATCGAGTAGTTTCTTTTAATGTTACGTTGAAAAGTTTTTAATAAATTATTCTTTTGAGCATACCCTTGCCTAACGATCAAATTTATCAACATATAATTTTATTCCCCCCCCCGTCGGGTAGAAATTAAAATAGTTTTCCGAATAAGGCTTGTTCAAAGTCGATGTAATTTGCCGGCTCTAACAATTCGATTTCCGAATTCGATTGATGGGCATCAGGGACCGACATTCAAATCATAACGTCTGTCTGATGATTAATCTTATTAACCTCCTGACCTAGGAATGAAATTCAAAACTGATGGATTATAGGAAAATTCAAAACTGATGAAATTATAGGAACAAAACATTTCATTGTAAAAAAAAAAAACACTTTAAATAGATATAATAACCTTCTAATTTCATACTTTATAATCCGAACTCATTTCGAAGTGACTGTTGAGATGCATCAAAATCTGCTTTAACATTAATAATAATAAATAACTCATTCCAAACGTCATTATATGTCAAAGGATTAATAAAAATCAGTATATCCTGTACTCCTGGCATCCGAAATTGCTCTTTTAACAAACTTCATGGTTTATGCGCTCTCGACGAAGTAGATTGAAGTCAATTTAATAAGTTTAAATGAAGTGCGGGAAAAAATGCTCATATTCCGTACAAAGGAAGTCATGTGGTTTACGCATCATTTTTTTTCTGTCTTTCACTAAGCAAGTTGAAAATAATTTCGTTTGGCCTTTTTTAAAATTTCAGGAGGCCTTGGACTCACCAGTCGCAGAATAGCTGAAATAATCATACAGCTTTGGAAGTCCTCGCTAATCGATTTGGAAATCGTTTGGAATCGTCGGTAACATTTCTGGTTTCATGAAAGTTTTGTATTGGGACACTGATGGAATTTTACGAATTGCAGTGAAAATTTTATAGTTTAGAAATACATTAAATTCATCATACAGAGAAGTGTACTGGTAAATGAACATTACGCAGTTAATTTAACACTAAAACTTAATAATTTGGGTTTGAATAGATATTTAAAGGTGTGTTACATTTGTGTCTCAGAAGAAAATCGCATATTGAAGTTGTTCATCCATACAGCAAAATCTATCCGTTGACTATAATCTGTTACGAAAATTGTTTAACGCAGATAATCTTATACGGACAGAATTCAAGGATCGATTTCAAAATTATCCTAATCGGTTCCGATTCCAAACTTTAATGCTAATAAGTCGTGCCGAACAAAGTGTCAGGGACTATGCAGAAATAGGCCTCCCGCTGTCACCACATTCTCTAGTATTCCCAACAAACATTCAACATAGAGTGGTGTGCTGGAAGTTATAAAGGTTGTGGTTTGAAAGTGTTGAAACGATTTTAAAGATGGTTTTGCGTGTTAGAACTGCTCCATGCCGTCTACATTGAGGTACCGGCGAAATAACCTCCGAGATGCAACTAAGGAGTCGCTGATTCTAGCACAGACATCGTACGTGAACATACGATGTTCCACCGACCATGTCTCCATAGTAACTGAAATAAATGTAAAGTAAATAGCAGTAATGCAGTTTGATGTTGTATTAACTGTGTGGTGTTCGTTTTAAAAGGAGTATTCCACTGCATCCATGTACACTGCGGGGGGAAAAAGTGAGAGAGAGGGGTCAGTTTTATATTTCCCGTTCTACTGAGCTGATTGACGAAATTCAACGTGCGTTTTTCAAGTCTCGAAACACTCTGACGTTTTCTGAAATAGCATATATTTTTTTCCATATTTCGATTCTATGACTCATTATGCTATACTGCCAAGTTTTGTAAAACTCGCACGCATAGTTTTTAAAAACTTAGCTGTCAAAATTTTAGCACCTCCATGTTAATTGAACTTGTATATATTTATTAAATATCTTTTTTTAAATTAAATTTGAGTCTTCCTTTCACATTCGAAATTTAGCTTCATTCTAAATAAAATTCACCTGTGTTTATGATTTATTTTTAAAACTGATATTTTGAATAATTTTTATAAATTTTTCGAAAAGAAATTTGAATTATAACCTATAAAAATTTTACCATCATCTTAAAGCATATCTTTCTAAGTATATCTGAAAACAAATTAGTTTTTTATTCAAAATTTCTTAGTATATACAGGAATTTGCATGTTGGCGCGTTTTACAATTTGGCATATTTGTTATAAGCGATATAACGCCAAATGTATTTTACGTTCTCCTAAAATTATTTGAATGTATGAACGATGACCTTTTTTTAAAAAAAAAGGAAAGGAAAATAGGTTGCTATAAATTAAGAAGTTCGCCAAGTGAATTGACGCAAACTAAAAAAAAAAAAAAAAGAGCCAGGCTAAATTTTAAAATTTTTCCGTAAATTTCGCGCCAAATTTTACAAAATTTCATATTTAGGCATAATTCGAGCCGTAGAATCGAAATATGAAAAAAATTGGCATATCATTTCAGAAAAAGTCCGATTTTATGTCAAAATACCTATGTTAGAACAATACTATATATAAATCTAATATATATCGTAAGTCGCGCTTTCCAGACATGAAAAATGCAAGTTGAATTTCGTCATAGAACTGTCCCCACTTTTTTCGCAGTGTATATCTAACTGATAATTTTTGTGAACATTTTTAGCATTAATGCAATTTATAAGGTTATTTCTAGTCTCATGTGTTGCATGCCTCTGTACAGACTGCTTTGATTTTTATTTTAGTTTTAGATAATGGTCCTTATTTCTTCAGATGGGGAAAAAAAGGAAAATTTTGCATTAAAGAAAAAAATTTATTGTTTCATTATTTCCAACACAACACTCTTCTCAAGTTATACATTATGAATTTTAAAAATTATGTTATCTTTCATAAATATTTGTTTTGGATATATGTAATAATAGTGTTGTGTTTATGTACACATTTTAATTTATATTCTAGGTTTAAACACTGCTCTTGTGCCTATGTATTTATCTGAAATTGCTCCAGTCCAGCTGCGAGGTGGCTTAGGTAAATAGGCTTGTTTAATATGAGAAATCTCTGTCCAGAAAATAATTTATTTCCAGTGTCAGTAATAGAATTATGTATGCAGAAAACGGATAACGATATAAGAAATTAAAATAAAGAGAAATTAAATCATGCAAGCTTTTAGATTTAGTCTTAACCCTTTAAAGAAAGCTATGGTAATTACAAAAATACAAAGGTATCGCATAATGAACATCCTGAATAACGAAAGCGCACGCATAACCCAAAAATGTGTTCGAATTCGGTTACCTATTATGAAACGAAGAGGAATTCCATAGCACATTAAGTTCGTTGCTAAATTTGGTTTACTTCCTATATAAATGGTGCATAAATATCAAAGCTAAAGAAAACCCGTACATAAAGAAAATGAACAGGGAAAAGGGAAGTGAATGAAAACTGACGGATTCGAAACATCGTAAAGTAAAATTTTAATTAGAAATGGGACAGAAATAGTTCACAACCAAACAGCGACATCCCTATAAATTGAAATAAATACTGTAGTTGATTTTTTTTAATCAAATACTACTTCAAGACTGTCTTCAAGAAGACCACTGAACACAACTTCTTGAAACGTGGACCGCTCAAGAAACCAAAGGCAGATGTGAAAGAGTGGTACAAGACGCCTGAATCTTTCGCCACCAGACATAGAATAGAAAAACACAGGCTAAATATAACTTAAAAACTGTGAGAGAGTAAGTGTACAGAGCACTCTCAATTCTCCATTATTAGCGGTCTTTTTAATATTCTCTAAAATTCTTTTATGAGGCACCACTATCTTTTACGTTTTTTATGATGTATGGACGGACTTATAAAATGGGAAGCCTTCCACATTATTTCGGTGGCTTCCTCTTCAGAAGGTGCTAGACATATTTAACATTTTTGTACCCATTTACAATACTTTTCTTTGAATTAAAAACGTAATTTTAAACGACCCTTGGATTCCCAAATGGGACAAGTGCGAACGCATAATTTCGCTTCTAGATGTTTTGTGACATTTGATCAGGCTTGAGAATGGAATAAAATCATTCCCACAGCCTGGGAAACAGTTTGCAGCATAACTGTCTTGGAACGAACTGCATGCGTTATATGAGGCACCACTGTCTGCTATTGCCAATTTATTAAACTGCGTCTTTACTACTAGATAAAAGTACTCATCTCAAAAGAATTCTAGTTTTTTTGAAAGCAGCAGCACTTGTTTTTGCATTTAAAAAAAATCTAAATATTAAAGGAAGGGTACATTGACAAGTATGCGGGCTTTGTCATTACAAAGTTTTTCCCCCTCATGTAGCTGTAAATACGACGTCCGCCGAAATCATCTCGGCAAAAACATCGCCTACGAAAACATTTCGAAGAAATCAACGCAAGGGAAAAACGTCGTCGTACAAAACATCGTAGGATTAAAAAAAAAAGACAAAGAAAGCATCAGAATTATAAAATATCGGGGTACAAAATAACGTCGTCGAAAATAAAGCGGTTGAAAAACTTCGCAGGTTAACAACATTGTCAAAAATATCACGGTAAAAAGTAATGCACCTACAAATTATCACATAAACGATAACATCGCAGATATGGGTTTTTCGGGCTTTAAATGTTATGAATGCATATCCGCATAATGATTTCCGATCTCAAGAAGGAAAGAGGAATATTTTTACATTTCATATTTTTGAATTAACTAAAGTTTTGCTGAAAAAGTAAACTTAAGCATTTAAAAACTGAAAACGAACATAAAGTTAGTAAAACTTATAACATTCACAGAATTTTAAACTTAATTTATTTTAACTCTAAAGATCATTAATAATTTTTATAAAGTTTTACTAGTAATTTTGGAGGAAAAATATAATTTAAAAAAAGATTACGAAAAGAAAAATAAGTAACTGCAAAAGGTAAACGCATATCTGCGATGATTTTTAGGTACTTTATTTTTTACCGCAATATTTTAGAATTTTGAAGTTTTCTCTTTGGTTTCTGTTCTTCGACGACGTTTTGTACCATGAAGTTTTCGCCTTACGTTGTTTTTTTCCTCTGTTTTTGCCGCGATGTTTTCAGCTGCAACCGTAAATAGAAGTCCGGGAAAAAGATTAGAAAGTTTGTATTCAATTCTAAGGGTACTGAAATTAAAACTTGGTGACATAATATAAAATAACGCAAATTCTTATTGTAATGTATATTAAACTAATAATAATACAAGTTTCAAGTAATTAAACTTGAAATCATTAAGAAATGCTATACGAAGTAACATATTTACATATTAGAAAAGATAAAGGATCGTACATGCCTAATTAATTGACAATAGCGCCAGTTTATAGCAAATAGGATTTAATTGGATACTTAGAACAGTGACAGTTTTTAAACTGTCTGAATAACAAATTTTCACCGCAATAAGATGAGTTTTATGAAAACACTTTCAACAGTATGGGTGTGGAGGGTTTCGTAAAAATAAAATTGCATTTTAGTTCATGTTCCTTGTAAAAGAAAGATTGTTTGATAAAATATTCTTTAGTAAGTAAAAATTTTAAAGTTTCGTACACCTGCTAGTTAAGTTTGCAAAGATATTCTGCAACAAATTTTCTGAATTAGTTTATTAAAAGATGTAAATTTAACATTTTGTGAGGAACTACAAAACAAGAGTTGCATGTTTTGTTGATCGAGTTCAGTAAAAGTTAAAAAAAAAATTCATGATTTAAATTTGTAGTTTGTCCCCCCATGCCACCCGAAATTATAAATTAACGAATCTTTGCGAATTTTGCACTTGCAAGGTACAGAATCCTCAGAGTTCAAGTTAATCGGTTATTCTGATAACTTTACATTGCCAAACTAACAAAGGAACAGCCGCACGCATTTTCACCTCGTTTGATCTCTTAGCTGGAATGATCATAATTACGTTAAAATCCAAAATACAGTGGTCACGTCCGCTTTGAAATACGTCTACTTGGTATACGTCCTGTTTGGACGCAAAAAATATTTGTTTGATATGCAGCATTTGTTTGGAATACAACTCAGTCTCGTGAGTTAGACTCCGCGCTCTAGACTTGTTTGCCTCTTTCGAGACAATGCTATGATTACCCATGAGCTTATTACTACTATTCAGTAACATCTCACAGTATAACCTGAATTTTCAAGGGATTTTACGTTTTTTCGCGTAAATTTTTTAATTCCGCTTATATTTTGCTTAAATACCTCAACATTGTGTTTAGGGAAAGTTATTGAGAAGAGTCAAGCAATGAAGAAAATTATTTCTATCACCATGGAGGTGAAAAAAGAAGATTGTTTAAAAGTATGAAGATAACATACATTGGCGTGCAAAAATTAAGGACGAGACGGTTTTTTCCATATAACTTTGTACAAAAGCTTACCAAATCAACACATTTAATACCGTAAGATCCCCAATACGTAAGGACATGAGTAATGTAAGCAACACTTACTAAAAGAGAAATGAGAGGGATAAAAAGAAGCTTTATTGAAAAAGTAGCATGGAGCGCAACGCGACTGAAGGCCGAAACATCCCTGTGATGGGTGTCCAGCAAGAAACATCCGGTCTTTAATAGGGGACATGATCTTCCCTGACTGCTAGGCAGTTTCACAACGTCTGCCCATGCTGAGAATGAGGGTGTCAATGAGTTGTTGACGCATTGCTGCCCATTCGTCTTGCAGTTCCAATCGAAGCTCCGGAATCGTTACTGGTGGTAAGGTACGAGCTGCCAAGCGTCTGCCTAGAAAATCCCATACATGCTCGATGGGATTGAGATCCGGAGATCGTGCCGGCCAATCCATACGTTCAATATCCTCACTCTCTAAGAGCTGTTCGGCAGCTACTGTGCGATGACATGGTGCATTGTCGTCCATGAAAAGGAACTGCGGACCCATAGCGCCTCTAAAAAGACGCACATATAGGAGAAGAATCTCGTTACAGTGACTGAACCTGCGTCGAAGATGTGAAGGTCTGTACGACTACCAAGCATGATGCCTCCCCAAACGAGAACAGCGCCACCTCCATACCTGTCCCTTTCAATGATGTTCGAGGGATGATTGCGGCTTCCCTGCTCTCTCCAAATGAGTATGCGATGAGAATCGCTACTCAGACTGAATCTACTCTCATCTGTAAAGAGTACTCGTCCCCATTCATTATCTCTCCAATTGCGGTGTTCCCGGCACCACAGAGAACGCCTTCTCCGATGGGCAGGCGTTAGAGGTACACAGCGTACAGGGCGTCGTGCAAACAGACCACCACCGTGCAGTCTTCTGGCCACGGTAAAACGCGATATCGGTCGTCCAGTCGCCTGTGTCGTGTGTCTAGCGATTTCTCCCGCTGTCTGCCGCCTGTTTCTTCTGGCCTGCAAGGCAATATACCTGTCATCTGCGGGTGTGGTTCCTCGTGGACGACCACTACTAAACCCCCGTATAGCTGTTCCTGTAGTTTGAAATTGTCTCAAGTCGTGAAACGATGCTGTGAGCAATTCGGAACTCTGCAGCCACACTTGTCACACTGCGGCCTTCCTCCAACTTCCCAATGATTCGACCTCGGGTAAAAGCATCCAGATGTCGTCTAACAGATTGATTATTCGCCATTTCTCGCTGAGGCAGCAACTCTGTGTGATTTTAACTGCTATACGGCGTGCAATCTCTTTGCCAGAAATACTGATCTTACACCGACAACATGCTTTATACTACTCAGACACTCCCCCATTACGTCTACCTGCATATCTGCGCATGTGCTACCGTACATCACCTTACTTAATCTCCTGATTGGTCTTTCTGTCCGCTCTGCCTCTTCGTCCTTAAATTTTGCACACCAGTGTATATATCCGGGACTTGGTTATTGCACACGATATGCCGAATAAGTGTCTACGACTGTGAAAACAGCAACAACAACAAACTGTTAATCGGCAAAAGGAGATGAACTCGAATACCAAAGACAAAGATCCTAGAGCAAGTTCAAAAATTGTTTTTGATCTGGATAGCGGAAGAACATTTATGCATAGTAACGTGTAATGTGCTTTATTTATGTAAAATTAACCTGCTGCATTTGTATTTTAGTATTAAACAGTGAACTTTTTGTTATCAAGTTTTATAACAATAGATTTGTTTTATTTTTATTTCTTATTGGAAATATTCGTTTGGACACGTGCGAGGACCTGTAGCAGATTAAAGACGTATACCGCGGTACCACAGTAAAACTGTTTATCAACAAGTCGAGCTGGGATATACACAAATTAAAAAGTTAACAGAAACCAAACTCCATTAGCTTTGAGGTAGACATAGTATAGAGTCTCACTGTCTTTGGTAACGTAAACTGCATGTGAACTGTACAAAGAGGTAAGCGGCTTATCGCTATATCTTGAAATTACAGCAGAGACATAGAGAGTAAAGAAAGGAACTTTTCATTTGACTCGGGTAAACGTTAACAGAAGGCCCGACTTGTGCTTACAGAACCAGCCAGCATTTATGTCGTAAATCAAAAACGTAATGAATTTAAGTAAATTATAGTTAGTCCAAAGGCTGTACAGGCAAAATGCGCACAAGTTGGTTCAGAGCTAAAATCGGCATGAAAAGCCTTATGGCGAGAATAACGCAACGTCGCAGTTAAAAGGCTCTCAAGAGAATCAACTAGCAACGTGGCGTTCAGCAGGCGGAACACGTTCTGATCCTACCATCTAAGACCTTTCTTTAAATGCTGTATCTTTTCTACCTCGTTTAAATACGCGCGAACTAGAAATTAGCATTCTGGCAGGACAATGCAAAGAAAGACAGAAAAGCTAATTAACATAAAATAATATGTTAATGAAAGTAAATGAATACTGTGCAATACAATTAAATTGAATAAAATGCAGATTACAAAAATTAGCAAAGCTTAATCTAATCCCTTCCCTTCAGTTAATCGCTCGTGACGAAAATCACGGCAAGCAAAATTTTTTATAGGAAAGTTAAACTGCAACAGCTAAAGTAATGGCCATCCTAGGATGCTAACGTTTTCGGATAAACTTTAAAACTAGGCTTTACATAATATACTAATTTGAAGTCTGGTGGAAATTGACGAAAGTTGAGGAAAAGACAAAAAATAAAACATTTCAAGCTTACCACAGTATTTAGAATTTTAATTCTTCTTTGTTTTATTTTAAAAAATTTACATGTACATGGCTTAAGATTAAGATTAAGATTGCATGCTTAGGAAATTTAGATACATTTGATTAGGATTAAGATTTGCGAAAATAAAGCATCTTCCGCTATACCTTGCGAGTTCTTGCCTAAATCTACGCCAGACACAAGATTGTTGCTTTGATAATCTTATAATTCTATTGTTTTCTACTATTTTATTAATCCTTCGAGAAAGGTGTTCATTTTACACTATGCAAATTTAATGTTATGACAAAAAAAGAAACTGTAGCCATTTCTCTTTTGGTAAATAATTATTTCGAGCCTTATATGCAAGTTATTCGTTGAAAAATGCATTAGTATGTCTTGAATAGATTCCATACTGATTCGTTGTTCCTTTTTTATGAAAAAACAGGAAAATTTTATGCGATGCCAAAAAATGGCATACATTATAAAAACATTTTTTCCGTCAGTTGACGTTATTTTAGACAACTTACTCTAAATATGAATTTCAAATTTTCCAGGATTCATACTTGTACGAGTTGCTCTATAGTAACTGCTTAAAACTAGCCTATAGTAGTTTAAAATGCCTTCAGGAGCTGAAATGCAATCTAAACACAAAAATTAGCTTGCAGTTTTTTAATGCCATTTTACGTTCTTAAAGGAAATGTAGAAACGAACGCCAGAGATTTAAAATTGAATTTCTTTTTAAATTGGGTTTTAATTTCAAAATTTCTCTGGAAAAGGATTCTGTGCATTTTAATTGTAACATAAAAGAGAAATGGAAAATTAAATATTGAAATTTTTAAATTTTAAATATTTTTGTATTATATTTATAATCATAAAATTAATATTTTTAATAATATTAATTATATAATATTAATCATAAAATATATTTATTGCAGTATATTTATAATATTTAAGAACAGAAGTATTTGCATGATTGTTTTATATTATATAAATATAAAAATTTTAACAGTAGAATGATCTGAAGCTTTAAACTGTAGTTGAAGTTTTCAGATCGCTTGTTTAGAACTTGCTTTGATTGTTAACGGATAATAATAAGAAATGAGCATATAACACAAAGTTCCTGAAGCTTTATTGGCCAAATTTTTAATCTCTCGCCATACAAGTGAATTAATTGTACGAGCAAGCATATTTTACCTCAAAGTAGTTTTTAATTATATCCCAAAAATGTTGTCTTTTACTTTATGACTGAACATCTTCGGCAGGTACTTTGAACCAATTGGGTGTGACTGTTGGCCTGCTTTTGTCCATGGTGCTCGGGATTCAGCACATCCTAGGTACTGAAGACCGATGGCCTTATCTTTTTGGTAAGTTGTTTGGTATCCGAATTTAAAAATGTTGCATTTGCTTTGTTACAACTGACAACGGTATACTACTTGGATCACTATTTTCAGATCTCAGTTTTTAATAAGGAAAAAGAACATTCCACATTGGAATGAGATTTATATTTGTTTTTTAGAAGGCAGTGATACTCCTTCTGTGAAAAAATATTTAAACTGATAATAAAAGACAATAAAATAAACTATCTATTTCTCGAATTTATCTTTAAACTAAAATAGTTTTTATATTAAATTAATATATTTGTATTAAATATTACATACTGTTAATTTATTTAAATACACTGGTTTTCAAAAATTAAGGAAAAATCACAAATGGCGATAACTCATTTTGGATGAGTTATCGCTATTTGTGATTTTTCGCTATTTGTGATTTATTATTTGTGATTAAATAAGTCAATCCATATAAAATTTGAATATGTTGTCAAGTAAGAGTTGCTAAATAAAACTGAAGTATGCAAATTAGTGGCGCAGCAATTGGAATAAGTCATCTACGAAGAGCATAAAATTCCATGTTTGAGAGCAAGCTTGCAAATTCGCTGTGATACTCAGATAAGGAATCAGGAATAGCTAATTCGGAACAATGACCTCGATGAACTGCGATGGGGAGCTATTCAGAGACTAGAGGCAGGACAAAGTCAGACAGAAGAACCAGATGACAAACTGGGAGTCCTTCTGTAGTTCATAGACTTTGCCAACAATTTCTAAACACAAATTCGGCATCCAGGAGGTTCAGGCCAGGACGACCAACTGCTACGACGAGGACTGTTGATATGCGCACGAAGGAATAGAATCGCATCTCTGACTCAACTCAGATTTTTCCTTGCTGCAGCCACCGGAAAGTTCGGGTTAACGTCAATCGTGCGTAGTGGACTTCACAAAGAGTAAGTCACAAAGAGAGTCCATACGCGAGGCGACCAACCATTTGCTTGCCTTCACGTCAAGTCATAAGAGGGAACGTTTGAGGTGGGCACGTCAACATGTCCACTGGATGACTGATCAATGAAAGGCTATTCTCTTTGCAAATGAGTCCAGGTTTAGCCTCCAAAGCGTCAGTAAGCGTTATTTGATTTTGAGAGAACCTGGAACCCGTTATCATCCGTCAAACATTCATTAAAGCGATGCATGCGGCGGAGACAGTGTCTGTGTTTGGAGTGGTATCTCTGGGTGGATGTACAGACCTCCATGTCTTTCCACGTGGAACCATGAATGCTCAGGCCTGTAGAGATGACATCCATGTGCGCCCTTATGCCAGGGCAATAGGTGATGATTCCCTGCTGCAGAACGACAATGCTAGACCTCATAGGGCTCTTACGACGTAAATCCTATCGAGTATTTTGTGATGCTTTGAGTAAACGTATAGCTGCTCTGCCCTTTTCAGACCCTTGCCACGCTTGCAACTGCTTTGTAAGAACAATGGTTCCCATTTCTTACGTAACTGATAGACCGCGTAATTGCCAGCATTATGCATCGCTGTATGTGCTGTATCGCTTCTAGGGGAACTCATATTCCATACTGAAGGTAATTTTCCTATCCCAGACACATCCGATTTGTTCATTTTATAAATATGCTAATTTCTATAACACCATAATAGTCTAGTAATTTCTTTTCTTGTTATTTCATATCTTATTATGTATTGTATACTGTGGGCCAGTTTCATTAAATTGTATATGTAACTTTTTGAGTAACCATCATTTTGTGATTTTTCATTTATGATAACCTTAATGATACGTGAAACAAAATTATTACGGTATATTTAATCATAATGTATAAAAGTTACTGGGTGCATAATATTGAGGCCAATAACACTGAGGTTAAACTTGGCTGTTGATGTCGTATGTTATGTACTACTCTGGGAACTTAAACCACTTTCATTAAAGGTCACATTTACCAATGAGCATTCTGCCACATGAGATAAACCAATGAAGCGAAATGAATTGAGTAGTTCAAATTTGATCCCAGCTAAAAATGTCAGAGCTGTCACATCTGTCGTCATAAAAGCTGAGATTAACTTATCGGATCTGAGCATAATTCATAAGTGGACAAATTATTTTTCAACTCGGAGACCTACAGTTATATAGAACTTCTGTCATATTGCTTGCTAATTCTAGGCCAAGTGGAATTAAAATCAAATCGTGGTACTTTTTTTGTTACAGCGGCCCCCAAGATTGAATGGCCAATCAACTGATATATCTCGTCGAAATCTTGTCATGTGTTCTTATACTTCGCTACATGTTTCATCTAGATTGATTAGCGATTAAATTTTGAGCCAGCTATAATAAAGAAGTACCAAATTATTTATAATTTTTTCATTAATTTGAGGATTTACAAGTGCAAAACTTAAATATTTCTTTATTTTCTGGTTTATTTTATATTAATACCAACATTTTGGTTTAATAGTTTCGATTTTTTAATAAAATATTTTAGTTTTAAAATTTTTTATGTACTTTATTCTACGTATATAAACAATTTCTGCGTTTAATTTGAGAATAGTAAAAATTAAGGCTAAGTTATAATTTTAATTTCAGGATTTACATTAATAAAAATAAATTGCATTGCTTTACTTTAATAGAAAATAAAATAGACTGCATGTTTAGACAAATAAAATCTAAGTTATTTCATTGTATAATTTTATCAAAAATGTTTGTGTTTATGGAACGTGAAAACTCTTTTTGTGGACCCTTTTTATAAATTTAAATATTCTGATGACCACCTTACTCTTGACCTCTTCGAAACTTATTTTTTAGTATGTTTCTACCAGTGCACTTATATTTTAAAAACATAATTAAAATTCATTTAATTTTATATAGATATTAAGTAGTAATTAAGTTAATCGAAGATAATTTGCATTCGTTTTCAATACTTCAAGACTATTAGTTTGCATAATCTTATTAACTGAAAGCGAAATAGATGTTAGTATCCACATTAATGAAATGGATGAGCATGCCAGTTTGTGCACAGCTGTCCTGTGTTTTTATGCATGCTAGTAGGCTCAATTCGGAGATTAGCGTATACATCAAGCCGATTTCAGTAGTTAGTTCTCATTTGAGTTAGTGATGAAAATCTTTTCTCCCCCAGACACGTAGAAGCAAACTTAGTTATAAATTTTAAAGCACAGTTGTACAATTCATTGCATTCAGTTTTCATTAGGCCTCACCAGTTGCCAAGTGGTTAAAAACGCTGAATTCTGATAGTTCGACCTGCTTTGAGTTTGAAACCAGGGGAAAAGGCCAGGTGCATCTTTGGTTTTCGTGGTTTTCCCTTTATGTAATGTAAATATGAGGCAGCTTCTCTCACGAAGTCCTCCACTAAGGCTTCCTTCATCTTAGACACATAGCCCTCCTGGCTTTGGCAAGTTCAAATAACTAACATAACCATTTTCACTGGTAATGAGCCCAACGACGCCAAATGTACGTCGAAAGAAGGTGAAGAGCACCACAGTCATTGTACTTTAAATCCCTCTTTTGTTTCTAACACAAAAGAAGTCGATAAGATAGGATAAGAAATAATACATATCATAAAATACCAGTATTGATAGAAAAAGTAATAAACGATTGCCATCTGTAATTTATAAACTCCATCTATGGTAAGATTTCCATCAATGGTGTGGTATACGCAGTTAACTTGAATTTTGATCTAGAAGGACCACAAGGGTAGGCTTTGAGGGTCACTTCTAGTTTCGTTAACCTCATTTTAAAAAAACGCCCCTTGCAGGAAAAGTTAGTCCAGTTACTTGGATGTCTAAAATATCTGAATGAGTTTTGATCCCATTTGTTCCACAAATTTAGAGTATAATGTGTATTTTACATTTTCTTAATTTTATTAATAAAATGTAATGTAATTAATATTTTATTAATGTACTAGCGGCCAAAGGAAATGTTCTTGATTTGTTGTTACAAGCAAAACACTAAATTGCAACAAGCAACACACTAAATTTTACGTAATATCTTGTAAAATAAACATACATACGTAATTACATAAACATTTTAGATTAAGCTTTCATATTGAATATAAATATAAATGCATAATTATCACATTTTTATCTTGCTTTAGTTGTGTATTTTTCCTTCCCCCAGGTGTGGCTGTGATACCTGCAGCTTTGCAGCTACTACTCCTTCCCATGTGCCCTGAGAGTCCTCGTTACTTGCTCATCACAAAACAGCAGGAACTTTCTGCCAGAGAAGGTAATCATTATTATCACAGCCGGCTCCATAGCCGGCATAATTAGATATCTAAGGGGCCGATTTTCTGAAGGCACCAGCTAAGTTATTTTAACAAGCCGCTCTTAAATAAAAGCGTATTTGCTTTGAATTATTAATATTTTAAAATTGAACGGAAAGCTAACTGTCTTGAAAGTGCCTAATTGTTGTTACATTGTCGTATATATTATGATTTACAGTGTCTGAATTATTAGTACTCTATGAAGATTATTTTGAAAATTGTAGCACCTTTTCATTGTCTTAATTCCTAAAACATTTCCTTACCAGGTACCTAACATGCTGCTGTTCATTAAAATTGCTACACCAGTAAAAAAAGCAGTGAGTACAATAATCTTTTGACGAATACTTCATAATAGATGGGTGAAACGATGAAAATGATAGGTGTTTTGAGACCCAGACCATGCAGAAATCAGGATGTTAAGTGTCCTCCTCTGGTAGCAAAAGCAGTTGTTATATGGCTCGATATGGATTCAATAGACTTTATATAGCAATTACGAGTGCAGTCTATGTGGCTTCAATTCTGCTTGGACTCACTTCTAGTGTAGTTCATCTGTCATTAGCTGGGGTATTGTCATCTCTCTACAACCACTGACCAGATGTTTTCGGTGGTGAGAGGTGGTCTGACGAAGGAGTCGAATATACTGTCTGCTGATGCAACACAGGACAATGTGTGAGCAAAATGTGATCTCAGATTTTCCTGTTAAAAGGAGAGCTATGTAAGCCCTAAAATATAACATAGTTATAGACATTAAAACCCGAGGAATGCAATGGTAGCTAGTGGAAGACCGAGCATGCAGATTAGATGTGAACGAGATGCATACCACTGGTACCCCATACCATCAGCTCATGTGACAAAGAAGAATGCAAGTTTCTCTCTTTCATTCCTTAGAAAAAAAATGTGATCTGAATAATTGAATTGCAATTAATCATTCAGCCTGTGCGGTTAATCAGTGATTAATTCTTTTCCTCTTAAGAACAGAGTAAAAAAAAAATTAAACTAACCTCGTCGATTGAAGGACTAAATGAGTTGTATTATATGTTATTTTTCTTGGCGCTTTACATAAATAATTGGATTGGAGTTTAATAAACGTACTGTAAAATTTTGAGCTGTGTTCAGTTAAGGGTTTTCAATAAGAATTTAACTCATTAATTTCACCTTTACAGCACTGGAAAGACTTCGATGTACAGTTCATGTAGATGAGGATTTAGAAGAAATGCGTGCAGAAGAAAGAGCTCAAGAACAAGAACCTCAAGTACTTTTTTTTTATTTCTTTATATGATTGTTATATATACAAGAATTTAATGTAGACGATGACTGTTGTTAATATGCTTGCATTTATACCATTATTTACAGTTATATAATGATGTAAATGTAAGATGTTACTTATCTAATAATGATATTTATGAGTAGAGTACATTAAAGAACACAGGAATTTGTGAACGTGCTTTTTTCTGTAGTGGTCTACCAGGGGCCGGGCAGTAAAATCACTGAATAGTGGTAGTTTGAATCAGGATTTGATACTAAGTGAACAGGCTGGTTCTGTGGGCATATTCTTGGTTTTCATCAACTTTTCTGTTTACTAGTATTCTTTAATCTTTCCTGAATATAATTTTAAGTCTTTTAGTATTTTACACGAAGTATTAAGTATTCATAGGAAGATATTTGCTGTCTATTTGTTTAAATGTTAATCTTAGAAATTAACCCCCAAATGCGAATTGTCCTGAAATAGCATGAATTGTATATAAATAGTTTCAGCTCTGTGCATCAGAGCATTCCAAAATTTAAAACTAAAAAAAAAAAAAAAAAAAAAAAAACTTATGTAGGTTTTGTAAAGCAAGCATTGCAATTAGTAAAAACACTGTTTTTTAGCGAGTATAAAATAGTGACGTAAAACTGTTTGCAGAATTCGCAGTGGACAAGATGCAGAATGATCATATAGCATGTTTATCAAATAAGTATTATTGCTGAAAGTGAGCATTGATTTTGTATACAGTATGGGAACTCCTCTTTAACGTGAATTTAATATGGCATTAGTAAATTAGGGCATGAGCGATAAGATACTACCGTATTTTAGATGCATATTCCTCTTGTTTTTTTACTCTAGATTTTCAATGCACAAATTAGTGATTTTTTCCAATTTATGATTGCAGCATACAAGGTATAAATGTATAACAAACTATAACGTGAAAGTAAAAAGAATAGCGTTAAAAGCAATAACTGTAACAAACATTTTTGAAATACAGACAACAGTATTATTTATAAAGTGGTGTCATTGTTTTCGAGCACAGTTCATTCTGAAAACGTGCTTGTAATCCAAAGCATTCATATATCAAAATGAATTTTCCCATAAGAAATAATAGTATTCAGATAATCCGTTCCATAACAAAACTATTTACATAAAATTGGTTCTTATAAAATATAAAGTTAAAAATAAATAAATTAACCTGTATTTTTCCTGTCAAAAAATCATAACTAAAGGAATCACCCCTATCTGTGTTTTCTCCTTTCATTGCCCTTTTTTTTTCTGTAATCCTCATCTTTCCAATACATGCCTTCTTTAAAGAAGTTACTCTGGCCTTCTTTAGATAATTTTGAGAAAAAAATAATTTTCAACGCTTAAATTACTTCAGTTTTATTCGAATGGTGCTTTACTACCAGGGTATTGCGCTGTTTGTCATTTATACATATCTGCCTAGTCTTCTTCGAAGTGAGGGGATATTTCATCGTTTTCTTCTCCTCGAACGAGAATGTCTTTGACACTGGTGAGGTACTCCCGTCTTTTCATTGGTGGTCAGTTCCTTTAAATGTTTCCGCACCAGCTTTTGACTTTCATTCGCATTCGCCCCGTGAATTAAAAGAAACATAATATCGACAACTGGAGGTTTTTGTGTAGTACAGGGTTGGCCAAACTTCATGTCAGTAAAAGCTGCACGTTTGAATTCAGGAATGTTCGAAAGCCGCATCTAGATTTTCTAAAAGCCACAAGTTCATATTTACATCATTATAGAATTAGTGGAGGAGGTTTTAAATAGAAAAAAGTCCCTGATAACTTTGTAAAAAGAGTCTAAACTAATTACTTCTTTTTGAACACTGAATAGTTTTAGTTTACCATATTTCATACATATATTTTATATGCACGAGCCCCACAAATTGCTTGCGAGAGCCATATCAGGCTCGCGAGCCGCACTTTGGCCATCCCTGGTGTAGTATGTGGAACAACGCAATCATGGCACGAATTCCTCCGAACAGAATTGAAGGACGTATTCTTGGTTCACCGCATGCTAAACACGATGAGGAAATAATTCTTTGAAAATTCAGAGGGTAACGTTTTTTCGGTCATCTCGAAGCATCGTTGAAATTATGTTTTGGCATAGGCGTATTTGCTGATTCATGTGCTGGAGTAGGATTAGTGCTAAGAGGAAGAAACCTGACTTTTTGTAATCGAATTCCTCTCTTAAGACCTGAGAGAATGAAGTCCATAATCACTAAGATTTTGAGTAGTGAAGGTAGTGAAGTTCTTCCTGAAAGGTGTTTTTTTTTTTTTTTTTTTCCAGATCGAAGTCCTCATTGATCCATTCAACAAAAATGATTTGTTCTTGGACTAAGTTTAACTGGCTCTGTTACGCCTCGTGTTTTATGAAGGCTTGTGGATTGTCGAAGTGGTACATAAGTAAGGATTTCATTTTGAAATTCCTGCTTACATTATCAAACAACAAGAGATGGGATGGACTACCACGGGCTTGCAATTGGGTACAGCATTTCAAAAATATCTCCATCCCTTCATTGTTAAAAACATACTGCAGCAAAACTTGGAAAATACAAGTATCTGGAACATGGGATCTGTCTTAATATCTGAAATCACGATCTTTATGTACCTCGAAACACTTTTGCACGAAATTCAAGTTATAGAGATTGCAATGATATGTGCTCGAGAATGAGATGAACAGCAAAGGTCTCGCGGTTTTCCAACAGTAGCACCAGTGTTTTTGCGTCACAACGTAATCAGCCCACAAACGTTGTTGGTATTTATACCTGCAGCATTAGGAACACCGACACAGGAGTATTAGGCAAAGTAGAAGTGGGGATTACAAAGGAATGAGAGAAATGTAACAATTATAACATGCATGTATGACCAGAAAATTATAAGCACCAGTTACTCAAGTGAAGTGGCCATTCCCATTATTAGACCGTCATTCACATCATTCATAAGTGCAGATCCTGCAAGTCTTGCATATTCAATTTTGTTCCTATTCATTGAACCGCAAGACACTATGAAAACTCGTTTATAAGGAAAATTATTTTATGCCCATCCTATATAACCGGGATTTTCTAATGTTTTATAGTTTCCTAATTTACAGTTTTCTTAATGTAATTTTGCATTATAAAAACAATTCACAAGTTTTGTAAGAGGTCCTCAGTGTAAACATGCTGCCCATCTAATACTATTATTCATTTCAGATGACTGTCTGTCAGGTGATTCGCAACAAGAGCCTTCAGCTGCCTTTATTAATAGGAATTGTAATGCAACTATCGCAACAGCTCACAGGAATTAATGCAGTGAGTTTTATGGTTTCTTTCTACATAAATTTTTTTCATATTCTGTTTATTCTTGTGACCCAGCAAATAAAAATGTTCTTTATCTTTAGGAGGTAGAATTCTTTTTCTTAGAATGAACAGTTTTTAGTATATTTTTCTTTTTCTAATCATTTAACACAAATATTACTCTTTGAATTACCTGCAACAATTATTTTAATCAGCGTTTCTTGAACTTTTGAATGGTTCTGCTTTTTTTCAGCTATTTTTTTTTTTGTAATGCCCTATCCTTAGATAATACATATTGTTGCGTGCGTACGTGTTCATTATGAAGTAAACGCCACACAGAAACGATACTAGAGTGATAAAATTAATTTTCACAAAAGAAACACTTTACGTTTTAGAGCTTTCCACAAAAGTACTTGTACAGCTCTTTGCAGTATATCAGAGTACAATCAGTAGTTACTACTTTAAACTACTAAGAACTTTAAACAGAACGCAATGCAAAAAGCTAAGCTCTCACAGAGATTTATTTCTGAGCTAAAAACTGAGAACTCACCGGCCTTATATAGTCTTTCTCCTGCCACCGAGAAACCTCTAGTACCTTCCATTTCTCGAAATTACTCGAAGGCATATACAGTTAGTTACATTTAAGGGCCGGGGGACCCACCAGTGGAAAGTCGTTGAACACTGGTAGTTCGGTCCGAGGTTCGAATCCCGCGAACGGGCTGGCTGCATGGGCGTTTGGTTTTCCACATGTGTAACGTGTATATGAGCCAGTTCCTCTTAAAAAGGTCCACGAAGGCATCCCTTCCCTTAGGCAGATAGCCCTAGTGTGCTTTGCCTTAATTAAATAAACCAAACCAACCATTTAAGGGCCGGATGCGGTATGCTACATATATGTATCGATTAGTTATTCAGTTACAATAAAAATTAGTTATACCGGAGCTGGATAAAATGTCGCCGAAAGTCGCCATTTGCCGACAAAAATTAGTCGCGCCAAAACTATCTCCACCTTCACGATATCTAGTCAATTTAGCAGGATAGCCATTTACCTCAGTGTTAACTAGACTTGCCACTGTAATATTTTTCCGGCAGAGCTCCGTTCTTCAAATGGCATTTTGAGTTACATTATGTAAGAGATACTATATTAAAATTATTTACATGTATTCAAAATTCGTAACTATATAATAATAATTTAGAAAGAAAAACGGGAAAAATAAAATTTAAAAAACTGTTAAAGTTGCTCAAAGTTCTATTAAATTAATTCAATATAAAATATAACAAATCTGATTTTATTCTAACAGTGGTGATAAGCTGCATATTATGATAATGTAATTTAATAATCTTAATATATCTGATAATTCATTGAGTATTCCTTGAAAAAGACCAAATGTTTTCTGCGTTTCGTTTATGCAATAATATAAAAAGTATAACATACTTGAGGTCTATTGCTTTGTAATTTTATTAATATTTGATAAAAATCCCAAATCAACAGGCATTTCTAAAACATTTTGAATCATTATATCTTTCCTGAAACCTCCTTTTTTGTACATGTACGGATATAAATGACTAATTCGGAATGAATTTATTTTATTAGTTAATAAATTAATTACATGTTGTAAGTATGGATTTATTCATTTCTTTGTAAAAGTAATAATGGAACCTCGAATCACGATTGCCACCCATCACTAGCAAATTATATGAACAGAAAATTCGTCTGGTGATGAAAAGGTATCTCAAGATATTAACATTCAAGTCAGCCACAAATTATTTTTACTGTTATTTTGAGGTAATCACATCATTTTAATGTGAAAAGCCTCGTAGCATAGGACTTAAAGGACTATGAATCCAGCTGGAAAAAATTATGGATAAATTGTATTGTAGACAATGTTAAGAGCTTTGACATCCAAACCTTTTTTTCCTATCTACGGTATAGTGTTTTTAGGCCTAATCTTAGAGTTTAATAATTACAACAACGACAATTTATTTGTTGTTGGTAGTTAGAGAATTTTGATCCTCTAATGATTATTAAAGCACCAAATAATGAGTTTAATAAGAACTACAACTTCACAAGCGGCAAAGGCGATTTAAAATTTTTGGAGGAAAGGAAGGAATTGAAGATGATCCTAATTCTTTGACTCGCCAGATTTTTGCGAAAAGAAACAAGATTTTTTCTTGACGCTTTTATTACGGATGTAACAATGTAGAGATCATGTATAAATAGCAAAGCTACAGTAGCCCACTTTCAATGACAATATTTTTGTCTCATTTTATAATGTAAAATACAAACAACAAATCACGTAAGACACATTTTTAATGAAACCAAGTGTCAAGTAGAGTCGATAGAAGTAATGAAAGAAGATGCTCCAAGAATGCAGTTAGCCAACACTTTTTTGAAACGGTGGTTTTTCCCCTGTGTAACGTGTATACGAGCCAGTTTCCCTTAAAAAAGTTCTCCAAGGCATTCCTTCCCTTAGGCAGATAGCCCTCGAAGCTTTGCGTAATCGCAAAAGCCAGACTAATCCTTTGCACGTTCAACTTACCCCTTGCACTTTTTTTTTGTACAAGAATAGTAAAAATTAAATTTTAGTTCACTTTATCTCTTTAATATGGTACTTGTGTTTTTTATCTTGTGTTTAATAATTTTCAATATGTGTGATGAATTTGGATATGAAGTACTGTTATAAAGCTTAAAAAAGTAATCTTTAGTCCAAGAATAAATGAATTCATTGTACACTGCACAAAAAAAGGGGGGAACAGTTCTATATCTTCCGTTCTACTGGGCCGATTGACGAAATTCAAATTGCGTTTTTCATGTCTCGAAAGCGCGACTTAGTATATATATATATATATTAGATTTATATATAGCATGGTTCTAACATAGGTATTTTCATATAAAATCTGACTTTTTTCTGAAATAACGTACCAATATTTTTCCATATTTCGATTCTACTACTCAAATTATGCCTAGATATTAAATTTTGTGAAATTTGGTACGAAATTTATGGAGAAATTCAAAAATGTATCTTGGCGCAATTTTTTTTTCAGTTTGCACCAAGAATAATTCACTTGGCGAACTTCTTAATATATGGCAACCAATTTTCCTTTCCCTTCTATTATGCCTGAGTGGAAAAAAAAGGCACCTCGTTTCTACCTTTTTACATTGTGTATGAGCGGAAAAAGTCACACGTTCCTACTTTCAAATAATTTTATCAAAGTGTTTAAGCCACATTTGATGTTTTATTGCTTTCAACAAATATGGCAAATTTCAAAACGCGCCAATATATAAATTCCCGGATGTCTTCGGAAATTTTAAATAAAAAACTAATTTTTGTAGGTGTGCTTAGAAATACGTCTACTTTAAGAAGATGGTAAATATTTTATAGATTATAATTCATAATTTTTTTGAAAATTTTTTTTGAAACATGTTTAAAAATACAAATTTAAAAAATAATCAAAAAATGGGTGAATTTTATTTGAAATGAACCTGAATTCTGTGAAAGGAAGAATAAAATAAATTTAATAAGAGAGATTAATAAATATATACCAAACTCAATTAACATTGAGGAGCTAAAATTTTGAAAACTAATTTTCTAAAACCTATCTTGCAATCTTTGCAAAACTTGGTAGTTCGGCTTGATTTGAGTCGTAAAATGAAAATATGGAAAAAAATGGTTACAGCAGATAATAAATTTGTAATTACCGTAGCAGCTCCAAATGATATTTGTCCTCAAGGTAATACATATCCTAAAAAAAGCCGTAGCTATAGAAAGTAATAAAATTCTTACGCTTCTAAAAAGGGGTAAAGGGGGTAAGAATTTTTAAATTCAGAATAATTATTTCAGAAAAAGTCCGATTTTGTCTCAAAATACTTATATTAGAACAACGCTATATATAAATCTAATACATATTTCAATTCGCGCTTTCGAGACATAAAAAACTCTGAATTTCGTCAGTCGGCCCAGTAGAACTGCCCCGTTTTTTTAACAGTTCCAGGTTGTGGACGTTTCAGATGGCAAACGACTTTTAGGAACTTGTCAAATTCGTGTACCGAGGTTTCATTGCATATTTTTCTTTCTAATAGAGATTACATATGCTACTACTAATACAATATTATTAAGCTGTTATTTATGTAATATACTCAAGCTTTTAGACTAGTTATTTAAATTTATTACACAAATACTGCCAATACTACTGCTCACATGAAGTCTAAAGTCTTCCTGTTTACGAAAATCCGTCTTTCTGCTTAAGTCTCTTTTAGGAACACCTAAGATCATCGAGATGCATTTGAAAGCTTTCTAAAATTTATTAATTTTCTTAATTGTCAAAAAATTAACAGGAATTTAATGAGTGAAATTTGTAGGGATAATTACTATTTAAAGCAAATGGAGAAAGATTCCCCCCCCCCCATGTTTTAGCAGTCACTTTATTACTTTTTACATTTGGTTTATTCTAAAAGTGCAGGCGAAAGAAAAGCATTATTTTAGTGGAGTTAGCATCTTGTAAGGGTGATATTTTTAAAATTTAACTCTATTTTTTTATATCTGAACATTTTACAGCTTTCACTAATTAAGCACACTTCATAGCAAATGCAAATTTGATAAAATACTGAAGCTTGTCAGGTTATAAGAATGTGTTAAATTTGTGAAAAATTATATATGTATATAATTTTGTGGATTAGAATGCGTTAATTTGTTTACAGTTTTTCATTATTTATATTTGATAGAATATATCTCGTGGTGTTTTCCAAAGATTAATTTTTGTCAAGTAAAATGGACACACTTAAAATTTTATGGAACTGCATTTTCGTTCTATATACTATATATCTTTGAAATACTCTATTTGTTCGCTATATTTTGCCGTCTTTTTAGCAGTTAGAAAATTTTCCTTGCAAAGAATTCTTCTCACCTGTTGGAAAAGAAATCAAGGTTTTATTTGGCAGTGTTCAAAATGCGACGAAATACATGCCATTCAGGGAGTTTTGAATTGGCGTAAGCAAGTGAATTTATCAAGGAGCAAGGCCAAACGAATCAAATATTTCAGCCAGATCCAGAAAGGTTGTTGAATGGTCATAGAAATTTTGCGTCATTCGCATTATCTTTATGAAGCACAACACCAGGGAAGTTCCTAGGCCATTGGCCGCCCGCATACTTTCCTAAGACTGTCGCCCACAAATTTAAAAAAAAAAAAAAAAAGATTAATAGTATTTTAATTTTATTTCATATTCACTAAGTACTTACAATGATTTTAAAATATTTAGGCGTGGCATCGCAAGAGTCCGGCCGCCCCTGATTTTCGCCGTCCGCGTACTTTAACGAGCTGCATCCCCGCTAGGAACGGCCCTGCACAACACCTTTACTGGTCACTTCTGGTTGCCTTGTTTCAGCGGTTTCCTTCAGAACTGCCAGCTGAAAACAACATATATATGACGATCTGTTTCCACATTAGTAATTTAATTTTTAAAAGTTTTTAAATATCCGATTTATTAAAATGTGTTCATAATGTCAGGTCGAAGCATCATTTCGTTTTGCACTGTTTCGGTTCATTTCAGTAGAATTTATTTTTCGTATCACTTTTATTTTCAACGTAATTATATTTAATTTATATATTTTTTATATTTTAACATAATAAATCGGGGTAACATTTTGAATATTTTAATTTAAAAAGTCAAATTAACAGTTTTTGGAAATTTGTAAGTTATTAAAATTTTTAAGAATGTCACTGAAGGAGGGACGACAATTACTTAAATTTGAAACTAGAAATTTTGTTTAGCAGTGTTAACATATCGTTTGTATTTTACCTAGGGATATTTTAAACGAACAAGATTTTTATGTTGCTCTGTTTCCGTCTAAATATGTTCAATTTTTGCCATTAATTAGTTGAAAATTATTTACTGAAATGATAAACATGTATTAAAATAAAATAGATCTTGTATTTCAATAAAATCCGTATAATTTGCGTCATGAAAGAGTAACCGAAAACTGTTAGTTTTAAAAAGCTTCAGCATTTGAAGCGCGTAATCTTCAGAAAAGTACTTCTCTAATTTTTCTACTTCTTAATTATTTCACACGTAAATTTTTGATAAAAAATGGATCCACTAGCGGGCGAGCGGTATAGTCGCTGAACACTGGGAGTTCCAACGTGGGTTCTACTCCAGGTGAACGGACTGCTGCACGAAAGTTTTCGTGGTTTTCGCCATGTGCAAAGTGTATATAAGCCAGTTTTCCTTAGATAATTATCCATGAATGCATCCCTTCCTTTGAAGGACAATCCTCGCGTGCTTTGCCATAATCAAATAAACCTAAATCAATGAAAACACTTAATATATCATTGAAAAGTTACTTTTTAGTGCTATGGTGAAATTTCATACTTACATGGTATTCTTTATCCTACGAACCTGTGTCTGCCGAAAGCATCGTTGCAAAAAGATCGCGGACGAAAATGTAGCAGAGCAATCAATGGAAGGGAAAATGTCGTCATACAAAATCTCATGGGATAAATGAAAGCAAGGAGAAAATATCGAAGTGTTAAATATTATGGTAGAAAGTAAAGCAGTATAAAATTTTTGCTCAGTTTTAACATATTGTACAAAATATCATGGTAAAAGCGTTTATAAATCATTGCATGATAACATCGTAGATATTCATTTTTTGATTGTTAAAATATTAAGTAAATTTTTGCGGGATTACCAGTGAACATCACAAAAGGAAATTAAAACCGTTTTTACTTCTATATTTCAGAATTGGACAAGTTCCTCTCATTTCCAAATTGATGTCATTTCCAAATGACATCGGTTTTATCTGCTGTCCGGTATTTTTCAACATTTCTGTTGTATCTCTCTTGCTTGTACCACGTCTGCTTAATAGGCTCTTCATGATTATGATAAAACTCTGTAACAGCATAAACAATAACCTTGTTAGATGGATAGCTAAAAATGAGTATAGATCACTTTCAAAGTGGTCGCCATGACAAAGTTTTATTCAAAGATGAACAGAAAAAATAGTTTTTATCTATTTTTTAGTCCTTGAAAGTTTTAATGTTTCTTAGTCTTTGAATAGTTTTTAATTACATTTTCAAAAGTTTAAATTTATTTTCATGAGCAAATTAGATTGTTTTGGCGATTTAAACAGAAATGAAATATTAAAAAAAATATTTCAGGTTTTCTACTATTCAACCAGCTTATTTATGTCTGCGGGCTTATCTGATGCGGTGTCCCATTATGCTACAATGGGTGTTGGCGTCATCATGGTGGTCATGACTCTAGTCTCTATTCCACTTATGGATCGAGCCGGAAGGAGGACGCTTCATTTGTACGGTTTAGGTGGAATGTTCATCTGTAGCATATTTATTACCATATCTCTGCTCGTTAAGGTATGTTACACATTTTTTCATAGATGTCATCATTACCTGTGTTTTCTCAATTTTCTTTTGTAGAGACAGTTTAAATTAATTTCACAGATACTTTTACTTTATACATTTACATTATGCGAATGCCATTTTGTAACTTAATATGCTGTTAGTTATAAGTTTTATGATAACAGAACAGATTATCCCTTTCATTTCTTTTTTTAGACACACAAAATTAAACTTCTTATTTATATGTTCTTTCTTATTTTAAATTTCAAATATAATAATTATATTTTAATTTGCATTGCTTGCTTTGATATTATTTCATGTTCATGAAGATAAAGCCTTTGTTGAAACAGCTAATATGTTTTTATTCAAATTAATAAGTAATTTTTGTTTATTGTAATTGATCACAAAATCGCAAATATAATGCCAAAATTAATTTAAAATTAAACAATTTAGGTAAGTTTACTAGTTACGTACAAACTCTTAGAAATTCAAAAATTATAATTTTTTTCAAAGCAATATCATGTGCTTAAAACAGGTTGTGCAAAACAGTAGGAAAAATATTTTTTCATCTCAATATCATATGGTGACTTTTGTATATCTTTAAGAGAAGGCTTGTTCAAGAGGTAGCTGCACAATTTTTTGAATGGATTGTTTGCAACAATATTTCCATATGAAAAGTGGTAATTTATTTTTTGTCTACATATGAAATGCATATGGAGGGGAAAAAATTGGCGCCTTAATTATTTAATAAACTGTGTGATCACATTATATGTTTACTGTAAATTAAATTCATTATTTTATCTTAATTAAAATAGATTATGTACTTACACAAATAAAACAAAATCATTAAATTTTGCGAATAAGTTATATTTATTTTATAGAAGTAAAAGAATTTCATTTTGTATAATCACATTGAAACAAAATATGCTGAAATGCTGTATAATCATTATTATTGAAACAAAACATGATGAGCGAAAAAAATAGAATACCTTCACTTGCAGAATTACAGTGAGGCCGTACTTAGCCTTCAGAAAAGAAAATAATCCGATTATCAGTTTCTGTATCAGATACGGTCCCAACCAGTCATAATAATTGCATTTCTGCTGCACTTAAATTGTACAGTTCAATGGATTTGCAGCAAATCTATGTTTATTTTCTCCTGCTAAAGCAAAATGTTTATCAAATTACCACAATTAATCATGACTCTGATTCTGTAGTCTAGTCCCACCCCTTTATAAACTTATGTTTACTGTTGTATACTGTTGGCCTTTAAAATTGCTACACCATGAAGGAAAGCATATAACAGAATCTTATTTATTGTACATATACATTTTAATGGGAGGAAGACATGATTAAATTTGGAGGTGGTTAAGGGTATTTAGCCTGTAGAATTCAGAATAGTGATGCCACTTTCGGCAGCAAATACAACAGTAATCAGTATGGGTATAGTCAAAGAGCTTGGATGGCAAAGTACTTCGTTTTATGCGGCTTTAACCCTCTGCCAGTGATTATCAATCGTAGTACCGGCGGCAGCTCATGGTCAGGTTTCTCAATGGGAGAGAGATCTGCAGAACATGCTAGCCAGAGCAACAGGTCGAACATTCGAGGTATCAAGGGCGTTCAGAACAACACAGACAACATGTGGTTATGCATCATCTTATTGAAAGATGGTCTCGCTCAGGCCTTGAATATAGGGCACAGACATGGGCCTAAATACGTCAGAAATGTAACGGCGGATGTCCAAATTACAGGCTTTGCGATCAAAACGTGACCGGAATGTGTACCCAATAGCACTCTGTACTAGCACGCCAGGATCAGGGCTTGTATGAAGATCACGAATGGAAGCTGGAAGCGTTCGTTCTCCTCTTATGTCTCCATATGACTTCGTCTATCATGATGATGTATGCGGAATTGGGATTCTTCCGAAAAGACTACGTGGTGTCAAACCAGTGTCCAGTGTTGTTGTCTCACAGTTGTAAGCGGGTCTGTCTCTGCTGCAGGATCAAAAGGAGTCTTAGCAATGGTCGAGATGCTGCAGACGTTTGACTCGGGGTATGTGACGTGGCTGTAAGATCTCGCGGACAAATGTCTCTCCTCCCGAATGTTAGTCGTTTGGAATGGCTGAGATCATGCATGGCTTTCAGTATAGATTTCCTGGACTCGTATTACAACTGAGAGAGGCTGTATCCCGACCACCACGAGCGTCAATGTCGTGGAACGATAAACCGTAGCCCCAATTGGCCTCTTTCCTGCCGCGTTAGATTTCCAATGAGTGCTGATAGGAGTTTTACCTTTTTACGACTTTTACTCAAACAACCAACATAAAAACGCGATAATTTTCCGTTATGCAACTGCTAGACATTTTTGCAGCATTGTTGTAGTAATATATAGCTATGTGTTTATTCTTGTTTACATGTACACGCATAGTTAGGAGATGATGCTATCGTTGTGTCTCAGCATGTGTTTGGCTTCTCTTTCACAGGCAGCAAAAAGCGTGGCATGTGCGTAACAGAAAAGTAGCAACACGATTTCCAAATTAGAAAATCCCCTGCGCAGTTTTTTCATTTATACATAATATCGATGACGTTACTCATACCTGCTCTGTGCGCATGTTCCGGGCATATCTGAGCATGTAGTACCTTTCATGCAAATTTTGGAGTTTGTTGCATGCTGCTTGATGCATGGTGTAGCAGTTTTAACAGAAAGCAATGTACATGCTGTCTACCTATATTTTCAAGAGCATATTTCATCCTTATATTTACCATCGGCTTAATAGCTAAAATGTTTCAGCCTTAATTTTGATAAGGGTTTAAATTCCATTGAATGGGCGGGCTGCCTTGATGTTTTCATGGTTTTTCCAATGTTCCATACGTAAATGGTTTGTTTATTTTCTAACTGCTTATATTGAACGCTGCGTTCTGTATCTTACCACAGACTACATCCAACAATTATCGTACACTTTGGATTTTAAACATATTTTTTTCACATTGCTATGAAAATGCCTGACGAACTGTTCTGTAACTTTAACCTAGTAAGTAAATCGCTTAAACTCGCAGCTTCCAGGGAAAATTCAGTCACAAATCCATTTAGGGAACTTCCCACGAAATATTTTAATGCTATATGCAAAAACTGTAGCATCTTCTATATTCTACATCTGGATTGTAATAATATTAATTTCCAAGTTACATTTAAAATTAACTACCTATGTTTATATTTTTGAGATGTTTAGTGTTCTCAGTTTATCATAAAATCACATCTGCGATAAATTGCCATGGTTACCAAATTATGATGCATAAGATTTTTTGTACTTTTGTTCTCTGAACCGAATTCAGAAATGTGTGTATGTATATGTACGCACAAGCATCCATACACACGTGTATACATATATTTCTGAATCCGGTCCCGATAATAGAAGAGTGCCGATTTTTCATTTATCTTCAATGTTGTAAAACTAAGTTGCTCAATGCAATGCAAGTTACAGTTAAAATGTCATTTCACCTGGACTTAATAACAACAATTTGTGGCAAATTCCATTTTATGCCATCAATGCCTTTAAATTTTTCGAGCTTTAATTTTAAAGGTTAAATTTTTTAAGTTATGAATGGTCAACTATTTTCACTGCTGTTGAATTATAATCTGAAGTTTAGGTTATATTTCATTTATTTTTTATTGTCAGTTTATTTTTGGACACTATTGTAGATTATTCGGAAAGAATTAAGGTAAACTATTTTGGATAACATTTTATTTGCGTTTAGGAGAAAAGGAAGTTATTTCTTAGAAATCAGTTTAAGTATTAAACTGTTGCAATTCTTTTTTGTAGTTCCTCTATGAGTGGGTGACATACTTGAGTGTGGTCAGTACTCTATCCTTCGTTGTTTTCTTTGCTATTGGACCAGGTGAGTTTTTTTTTATTAGTATTTTCAAAATTTTATTTTGTCGAATTCTGGCTGAAAGATGGTATCTTATGCTCATAAAGAAGTAATATAGTCCTAGTGTTTACAGTAATATTGTTAGTGGAACTGGAACCTTTAAATTAACTGAACCTTTTAGAGTATTGTAGCATTAAAATAAAAATTATGAGTATTTCTAATTATGACAATTTTATTTAACTTTTACCTTTAAATTTATGAAAGTCTATTGCAGAATAAAAATTCTGTTTCTGATACTAAGAATGTCTAGGGCTCAGATTAGAAGCTCAGTGGTTTAGTTAGGGTCACTTTTATCTCAAGTGATAGTTAAAATTTCAGCTCTGATTTTGTGGTGGTTTAATAATTAAATAAGATCTAATATTGCTTAATTTCCATTTAAAATTTAGGAAGAATATTTACTTTAAATTGGAAATATAAGTCTAGTGGTATGTGGTCTAGTGGTATTATCTTTTGCACTGTGGGCATAAGCTTTTCCACTTCCATATATGAAGAGAACTTCTTACCGTACAGTCACCTTTTCAGTACTGAAGAAACCCCAAAATAACACATTACTAAGGTGATTTATGTCTAAATACTTCAGACGTTTTTGTGTTTTGTGCATCTTATTCATTCAATTTAGTTGTAACTGTAGCGTTTGAAATTGTTACATTTTTTAACATTGTCTAAAAGTTATAGTCGTTTTTATCTGCATTCCTTTATCGATGAGAGGTAAAACAGAAATTCGAAAGCAAAATGTACAGTTAAATGTTTCTTAGACCAGTTTGCGTCTAAGTGCATTTCAGGGTCTAGAACTTATCGCCGTGGCCGTTTCGCCGTCGGGCGGATTCGCCTTCAAGACATAATTTTTCTTTACACGACTGTATTATTACTCGCCGTATTATATTCATATTAAATTTATTTAGTTTAATAATTGTGTTTACCTTTTTCATACGTGATAAAGGTTGCTTATAATTTATATAGTTGGTTACAAATATGAGGTATAAAGAAATTGCATTTAATTGTTTACAAATGAGATATAAAGAAATTACACATAGTTAGAAAATTATGTCAGTATCAAAGAGAACTGGGGCTAAACCTCTGATATAACAGAAGTTATATTATCAATTTCAAAATTATGCAGATCCAAATTTTACACAATTGCTCAACATTTCTTGAAATTTTAATCGGTAGTTCAGAGAAATCAGTTATGCAAGCAGGAAATTCACATTTTTATGAAATCTGAATTTAAAACTGAATTATTTTGGAATCTCGTCAGTACATTATTCTCTTAAAATTAATATGTCGTGCGTAACGATGTATTTGTATAAAATTGTATGCAAAAACACTGTATATATTATTCAAAAGCTTTTAATATGAGAAATTTGCTAAACTGTAAATGTTAACAAAATATATGGTTCTTTATAAGACAAAAATTTAGAAAGTTGTTTTATGCGATTTGTTTAAAGTACCTGCAAGAAATTTGAAAAGTTTTTTTTCATTTTGCAATTTAAGAAAGCCAGAGGCATATAATAGGTAAATAAACTTAATAATATAATATGGCAAGATATAATATAAGCATATAAAGAAATATAAATCTCTTAAATGTGCAATAGGTTAACAGAATTATTAAACTAAATCAACTTGATATAATACGTCAAGATAGAATACAGTCATGTAAAGAAAACTATGTATTGACCCCGAAACAGAGATGGCGAATAGTCCCATTTCCTTCATTTCATTTGCTTAGTCAATATATAAAATAATGTTGCAATGACCGAACAAGATAAATGGAATTTTTAATTTTTGAGCATGTTAAATTTCGAGGTGCAGCTATAAGTGGCAAGACATTTAATAAAGCTGTTTTTTCTCCAAAAATAAGTGACGTCTTACAAAGTTTTAAGACTTTGTTCATACAAAATCGAATGTTGAAAAAGAAAGCATTTCTATTTCTTAGCCTTCAAGTCTTTTTGCGGCTAAACAACGCTTGGTACGTTCAAGCTTGAGCTTGATTTCTTCGTAAAACGCATCTTCTGGAATATTGCTTGTTTTCGTTTTTCTGAATCCAATCTATTAAAAAAAAATTGAAGCGAGACTGCAGACTATTTTCTCTTACTTTAAAGGAAGAGAAATTATTCTGTATCTGGTCTGGGGCCAAGTCTGTGGAATGAAGAGTTGGTTAAGATTTGATACTTTTTTGATAGAAATGCTTCGTGAGAATTACTTTCAGGTCTAACGCGATGAATTCTCTTCGAAAATCTATTCATTATGTCTCTTACATGGATTTCACCAACTGTCCCTGGATAAAATTCGGTGCGAATTATCATTTTCCAATCAAAAGCTATCACGAACGGGATCTGTACTCGAAAACTGGAAACAAGTTTTGAGGTCGTGTTAAAACTTCCGTAACCTAAGCTTATGACTGTTGTTTTTTTCTCAGAATCTTAAGCAAAGCACCACGTTTCCTCTCCAATTATAATTTCCTTGGAAAAAATTAGGATTATCTGCCATTTGGGTCTAAAGATGATGTGCAGAAATTTCGGTTTTCTGCAGCTAACACATGAAGAACAAACCGAGGACAAATTTGTCTTTTGCAAGATCTTCAACAATAATTTGGCGAGCAGCGTCTGAACTAATGTTAAACTCATTGCTGATGATAAACAAGGCTATTTTTCAGCAATAAATACCGAACTTTTCCAATGCTTCCTTCTGTTCGACATTCTGAAGGCTATCGCTGCTGGCTCATCATTAACATCTCGGTGACTTGACAAAAGCAATCCGTACCAACAGGAAATCATTGGATAGTGTTACTGTTTAACTCTTATATGTTTTATATTACATTTAAAATGTCTCTGTTGATGTTTTTCTCTTTTTATAGCAAAACGTTACTGCTATTCTCTACTACGCTTTTAAATCTATGACAGCAGATATTCACTGAATCTACGCAATCAAATTATGTTTTAAAATTCTGTTCGCGAGCAAATTAAGGGGGAAATATGTTGAAATATCTATGTAATAAATGCCATAAGTTGCCGTTTGGCAAATTTTTGAAATTTGTTGAAACAAATTAGTTCTAAAGCTTTGGAGACGTATTGCGCAGCAGAATTTGCAATAAAACTTAATTTTGTTTGTAAAATTCTCTATACCTGAGCTATAAATCCAAATACAATTGTTTTGAATACGAGTTTATCTAACATTTATTTTAACAGCCCTAATTTTATTTAGAAAATTTTCTGGAATTCTAAGTAACTGCAATAATGCAATATATTTTATAGTAAATTCGGAGTAATGACTCAAAAGAATGTTACAAAGCTTTTGTTTTCATACGAATGTCATGTTTTGAAATAATTGACGGAAGTGCTAATTTTAAGGATATTGATAAATCTGAGCTCTCACAGAGCTAGTAACATTGAGTTTTGCCAGCTAAAAGTTAAACCCATTAAAAACACTTGGTGTTCATTATAAAAGCTAGATGTTACAATTTATTATCTGTTTATGTTAAGGAATAATTTTCTAACACTATTAGTTAGTGTAGCTTCAGATAAAGAAGTGTTTTAGTTCAACACTTAAAAATTATTATTTAAGAACGTCGGTAGTTCAATTACCTGCCAGCTACAGGTGAGGGTTTGGCAGAGAAAGCATTGTTAGAAATACAGAATTATTTAGAAATAAGAATGCATGAATATAAAAATAAGTAGCATTCAGTAATGTATTGCGTTATTTATTATTTCTGCTTGATATCTCGTCTCTTTCAAAAATATTAATGTTTTATGAATTTATGTTAATTATATGAATTGCTCAGAAAAGCTCACCGGTGAGTTAAAATGTGTTTCTGCGAAGAATTGTATTATATACCTGCATGAAATATTTGTTCCAAGAGAAGGGGATGACTTCATGGAAGACTTTTGAAGAAAACATTGGTCTTTATCTTAGACACAAGTAAAATCTAGGGAAACCAATCCAGTCTATTTCAATCGTCAAGAAAAGAACATAAAATTTACTAGTAATGTATCGAGTTTTGGGCACACGGACGATTTTATATGGGTATCGCCATTCTTGTGAAATTGATCTGTGTTCGATGACTCAAAAGATTTTAATGAGGTACCAACGCCTTCATGGTATCAAGTTTTTTACTTGGAAAAGGCACTTTTCATATTAGTGCCAAACGAAACCTTGTTTGCATGCAGGTGCCAAATCTTTCATGAATACTGCCCTCATGTTAAAAAGCTAATCATCAGAATGATGCTGGCACATTTATATTTGCGAAGATTTCTACCTCAGCGAATACTGGCTGACTTACATAAGGAGTACCGATTGTTTCACTCTTATGCTGGGGCGCTTGAGCCGTAACCGTTATGTAGCATCCTCATCCATCTATAGGTAAATAATAATTCTAGTGTTATATTGTATTTTGCCTTAATGAAATAATCCATTTCAGCCCTACAATCGTTAATTAGAAATTAATAGTAACTGCATATGTAATTATCTATTGAGAATCACTGAATAAAGGTAAAATAGATATTTTTTCAGGTAATATTAAATTATTAAGCTTTTGACATTTAGAAAAACATTCAAAAAGAGTTAATAAAATAACTATCATAAACATGTACCTACTATATAAAGTTCTGGTTTTTGTATAAAGGTGTTAGTATTTATGATGTCAAAAAGAGACATGAACATAGTTTCAGTAAACTATTTAATACTGTGCCGTGACCAATGAAATATTAATGTTTTCTGAAAGCTGTATGATGAAAGGAAACTGATAAATATGGAATTTTGATAAAACTGGACAAGTATGGTACTTAACTCTGGAGAAAATCATACCCTTCAAAGGTGTAATTTCATTACATTTATGTATTATGAGTATTTGTTTTTAGTTGATTTCCGTTTCCGTTGTATCATGGATATGGTATACAAGTTTCCACTTGAATCATTTTTATGAATTTTGCCAGACTTAAAATACTATACTTGAATTTTAATTTAAAAATTAG